ATAACTTTAAATTTCCTATATATGCTTCATTCAGCAAAATTTCATCTTACCATCACGTGCAGATTGTAGAGCATTTTTTTGAAATATTTATTGATTTTCTGCCCAAGGACTAAACAACTGTGTATTGCTGTTATCCCCTAAAGATTCCTCTACACTGTATTTACTTCAGTTGATAAACAAGCCCCCCATGAGAGAGCTACGGAATCAAATTCTTCAAAACAGTATTTGGCCATAGTAAAAGGTCCAATAAATAATGAGAACATAAGAAAGCAGGTTCCAATTAGTACTCCCAGGGAGAAAACAATAGAGGGGAGTCAGTCTGACAGAGGGGGTCGGCCTGACAGTGGGTATGGCCCCAGGACTTTGGTGCTTGGGGAGGACAGCACGTAGAGAGTGAACTATGGAACTTCACTCCCTCAAATTTAATAGCATTGTATTATTAACGGGCCTCCCTGGTGGCCTAGGGCTTAAATCTCAGCACTATCACCACAGTGGCCTAAGCTCAATCCCCGGCCAGGGAGGGACCCACAAGGCGCAGCAGACCTCACCTGTCTCCTCGCTGCTCCCCTCAGCAGTGGATTTCTGTCAATCCTTCTATTCTGCTCCCCACTCTGTCTGACTGTCTCCCCACCCCCACACCTCTGGCCTGTACTCAACTCTTCTACACAAAAACAAATAAATAAATCTTTTAAAAATATATTAAGAATAGGGCTCTCCCTGGTGGCTCAACGGTTAAGGCACTGCATTAACGGTTAAGACACTGCATTATGAAGCTCTTTGAAGCCACTGCAGCACGAGTTTGATCCCTAGCAAGGGAGGTGACCCACAGGGCGCAGCAGACCTCTCCTGACCCGCCCGCTGCTCCCCTCAGCAGTGCACTTCATCAATCTGCCTGTTCTGCTCCCCACTCTGTCTCTGGTGAATCCCCTCACTCACCACACCTATGGCCTGTACCCCAGCTCTGTATGCACAAAGGAGAGAGGATTCACCAGAGACGAGTGGGGAGCAGAACAGGACAACTGACGAATTACACTGCTGAGGGGAGCAGCGGGCAGGTCAGGAGAGGTCTGTTGCTCTATGTGGGTCACCTCCGGGGCGGGGATAGAACTCCTGCTGAAGTGGCTTTAGCTTCTTAGTGCGGTGCTTTAACTTGCTGCGCCACCAGGGAGGACCTGAAAGTTGTTAAATTTTATTAGCTAAAAACAGGTCAGTCAAAAATGGTGGGGAGAGGGCCCTCCCTGGTGGCTCGGCGGGTTAAAGCACAGCACTGAGAATCTAAAGCCACTTCCGCATGAGTTCGATTCCCGCCTGCCCCGGAGGTGACCACATGGCGCGGCAGACCTCTCCTGACCCGCCCGCTGCTCCCCTCAGCAGTGTACTTTGTGCATCTGCCTGTTCTGCTCCCCATTCTGTCTTTGGTGAAGCCTCTCACCGCCCCTGAGCCTCTGGCCTGTACCCCAGTTCTGTATGCACAAATAAATAAATCTTTAAAAAAAAAATGGTGGGGAGAGTGCACTGGACTACGGCAATGGCACATGGATAAGTGGTGATGGGAAGCCCATGGGGATTGCAGGTGAGATGAAAAAAGGCACAAAATGATGTAAAAATAAACTATTATATTATTTTAATGATGTAAAAACAAACTATTAGAATCATTTTTTAAAAGAAGTATATTATTTAAAAAAAAAAACAGGGCAAAGAAATGTGGACTTGACTGAAATTTACTGGCTGGTCATAGGGCACCTCATACCTGAAGGCGAAGAGACTTTTCTTCAAATACCTGGAGCTTTTCATTCCCACGGGTACACCCCATCTCTAGGTAAGCAAGCCCTAGCAAGCCCTCTCCTCTGTCTGCTCCAGCTCCCGCCAACCTGAAGGCTCAGCCAGGTTATGTGCTTCTACTTGCTCAGGCTGAGTCAGATTTTAAAAAGTCTTCTCTTGCTTTTGTACATAGGGTCTGAGGCCATTTTAACCATTTAGGCTGTTTCCAGAATTATAAACGTTGAACTAGAGGGGAAGTTCAAGAGATCAGTGTCCAGGCCTGCATAGAGTTTGGGGAAAGAGACCTAGAGCTGAAAGTTACTGAAAGAGAGTGACAGTAGACGTAAGAAACAGATGCATAGAGGATGCTAAATAGTCAGCTTGGAGGAGAAAGTGGTTTTTGCTCCTCCAAAGGCAAAAATCACAAGGGAAAACTAGCGGAATGGCAATACTGCCTCCCAGCGGCAACTGGGAGAAAGGCCTCTATCCCGGAGCACCGTCGCAGTATAGCCGTGAGCGACTGTGCCAGGGCTGGGCAGCCTTACCCATTTCTTTTAGGCCTCACAACAATCCCCTGTAGAGCCACCATAGTATGCAGCCTACGGATTAAATGCACAGGGCCCCCTTGGTGGCACAAGGGGTTGGTTGAGTTCTCAGCACCACGAAGCTGTCCGCAGAGTTCGATCCCCAGCCAGGGAGGATCCCCAGGGCACAGCAGACCTCTTCTGTCTCCCGCTGCTCCACTCAGCAGTGGGTTTCATCCATCTGCCTGTTCAGCTCCCCACTCTGTCTCCGGTGAAGCCTCTCCCCGCCCTGCACCTCTGGCCTGTGCCCCAGTATAAATAAATAAATCTTAAAAAGAAAGAAAGAAAGTTCTTTCGGAACTGATAGATTTAAAGTAACACCAAACAGAGCAACCAGATATGTGGCCTAACCCATCACAGAGGAGCCCCACTTCTAGTGAGCCCCCCTTCAGGTGCTCGGAGCCAACAGTCTCCACTGGGCCCCCCCAAAGTCAGCCTGCATCTTGGGGTTCATTTGGGCGTCTGCCCAAATGCCTCCTTGCCAGAGCGAGCTCTGAAAGAGTAAGTAGCCTTTGCTTTGCTCGTTTGGTTGCTGTTCTTTTTCCTCCACGTGCTGGACCGGTGATCTGTGAAGAACGTATTCCCCAGCCCCTTTTAAAACGTCAGTTTACATTGTTTCAAGGTGCTATTTCTAAAATTTTCGCCAAGCTGCGCAAACTCCGTCCTTCCTCGCCTTACATTTTTCACCTGAATCAACACTCTCAAGAACTCGCTTTGGCGCAGCTCCTCGCCCTAGCGTGGGCCGGCTCCCCCGCAGGGACAGGTGGCAGAGGCGGAGGCCTCGGCTCCAGGCCACCCCCCGGCGGGAACTACAACTCCCGGCTGCCCCTGCGGCCCGCGGGCCAGGCGGTGACGCGCCGGGCTACGCCTGCGCGGCGTTTCCCGCCAGTTTTCGTTGTTGTCGCGCTCCGCGCTCCATGGCGCAGTTCGATCCTGCCGAGCTGCCCGAGCTGCTTAAGCTTTATTACCGGAGGCTCTTTCCCTACGCCCAGTACTACCGCTGGCTCAACTACGGAGGAGGTGACGGGGGCGGGGCGGGCTGGGGCAGGGGTGGCGGAGGGTGCGCGCCGCCGCCTCGCGGGCGTGAGAGGCCGAGAGGGTGCCCGGGCCCGCTGCGGCTGGTCGCCGCTCCCCGCCGCTGGCTGCCCAGACTCAGTCGGCGCCGCTTCCCTGGCCGCGGGGTCCGGGCGCGCGCAGACTCGGGGCCCGCCAGGTGTGCCCGGGGGCGGCTTGGCAGACGCCTGCGGGCCAGGTCTCGCGCGGCGCCTGCGCCGAGGGGGCAGCACCGCCGGCGCCTCAGGCCCGCGTCGGTGGGCACCGTCAGGATGCCCTGGGCGGCGGGCACTGCCGACTGCCAACGCCCCTGTGTCTCGCAGTGATAAAGAACTACTTCCAGCACCGGGAGTTCTCATTCACCTTGAAAGATGATATTTACATTCGCTACCAGTCCTTCAGCAACCAGGGGGAGCTGGAGAAGGAGATGCAGAAAATGAACCCGTACAAGATTGACATCGGCGCCGTGTATTCCCACAGAGTAAGAAGTTGGGGGTTCCGGTGTGGCGGGTGTTCAGTCGAGGATGGGTCGGTGCCCCCGGCACTTGGAGATAAAATTTCTCCTTTGTTCTAGTCGAAGAGCCACTCTTTAACTGTTTATACGAGTGTAACACACGGCCGTGGTTTTTGTTCTCACGTTCTCACTGGGCCAAAAGGAAATTGAGTGTGTGGCTGAAGACTAAATGCCAAGGTGGCTGGTGTGAGGGGCGGAATTAAGGCGCCCTGTAGCCCTTCCGAAGGGCTGGGGCCGCCCTGGTCTCTGGCTCCGGGCAGCCCAGTGACCAGTGACTGTATGATCTCCCCTAGAATGCAGCCAGCGCTCCCACCAGCCCAGCCCAGCCCATTGCCCTGAAATCCCCCCGGCAGTTTGCTCCTGTAGTTTGCTCCTGTAGCGTCCAGTTTGTCGGCACAACAGCCAGACTGGTGCTTGTAGGACATGGCACATTCTGTTATTCCTGTTTCTGTTTCCCAGCGACTCCCCATTTTATTCGGACTAAGCACCCCACCTCCCTCACGCACATCACTCCCGCCACACCTTGCCCACGCAGTTTCTACACTTCTATGGGGAGTTTCCTGAGAGATCTTCGTTTCTGCTATTACAGTTTAATTCCCAAGAACTTTTTTAGGGCGGCCTATGCTTTATCCACTAATATGTCTTATCTCTCTGAGGACAGCAATGGTAGTGTTTAAGTTTTCTTCTGTTGCAATTTGTTTTCTCGAAGTTACCCATTTTACTGTCTTTTTACCTCTCCGAGTCTTTATTCTTTGTCTAAAATCTTGCTTGTTGCTTGTAAGAATATACTAGAAGCTGGTCAGGAACTGCATCCAGCTGAGATCTCTGGACTAAAGGGTGGGTCAGCTTTTTGAAGACAGCTCTGATGTCAGTTTCTCTAGCTCTTTGCAAGAATGAGAACGCCACTGACAGATCTGTGGAGCAGGCCCTGTCCTGGAGCCTGTAATGATGCCTGACTCTCCAGATCACATTCCTGAGAGAAGGCGCCTGTCGGGGGTAGCAGTGTCGGGCACAGAAGTAAGGCGAGAACCGGCCTCGACATTGCACTTGTAACTGTCTAATCCCCAGCATCGGCACAACTTCCGTCACCCATGCTGTCGCCCCTCCCCGTGCAGACCCAGTACCCTCTGTTCTGTGCACTCCATGTGATAGTTCAAATCGCTTTGCCAGAGTTGAATGAGTCACCTAATTGTGCAAAGTATAGGAAAGTGGGTAACTTTCATAGACAGATTTTAAACCAACTCTCCCATTTTTAATCTCAGCTTTACCACCACATATGCTTCCAGCGGTAACCCACTGTCACCTATTCCTGAGCTTTTGGGCGGTTTTTACAAATATTCATTTACGCATATAGAACTGGGGTACAGGCCAGAGGGGCGGGGCTGGGGGGACGTGAAAGGATTCCCCAGAGACAGTGGGGAGCAGAACAGGCAGATCAACAGAGTCCACTGCTGAGGGGGCAGCGGGAGACAGGAGAGCTCTGCGGCGCCCTGGGGGTCAGCTCTGGCCAGGGATTGAACTCACAGTGAAGCACTGCAGCTAGCTTCACGGTGCTGTGCTTTAACCTATTGCAAAAGGAGGGCCCACCTTTTGGCAATTCTAAGGTATAAATTGGGTTGCTCCTTATCTTTCTTTACCAAGATTGTCGGAGTCAGCTTTTGTACGTCTCCTTGTGAAAATCGTGGTGATGTTGTCTCTTCTCTGGTTCTTTTCTTAAAAGACTTACCTGGCCTTGGATGGAACAAAGTTCGTATCTGCAGGCAGCCCGTGCTCTGTTACCTGGTAGAGCATGGCTTCAGGGAAGGTGAAATATTTGGGGAGGTCTTTTTGGATTATTAAAAAATTTTAAATACATTTCCTCTGCTTACATGGACAGTAACAATAAAAGTTTAAAACACCCTGCGATAGGATGTTAATTTTTTTTATATATGTGTGTAGCCTAAAAATAATTATGATTTCTGTTGATCAAATATTATACAATGTTGTGTGTCAGTGATATCTCAAGAGAACTGGAAAAATGCATGGCAGTATGTTTTTATCAATCCCTGTCTGAAGTAAATAAAAGTTACATTCATCAATTCTGAATATGTAGGATCTAAATTAATGAGCTTTAACTGGCAGTATATGGTTCTCCTGCTTTTCTGTGATCCCTTTTCCATGTAGGTAGGAAATAAGCATATTGACACCGTGGCAGCTCTTGTA